TGCCCAGGTTTTTAGGATAAAAGTTTTTTGCTAGCGTTTCTTTACATTATTAATTGAAATATTGTGTTTACTAGCGACCCTACGGACTGCTAGGAAGTGGGTCGGGGCAGCCAAGTGTTGCAGATACATGATACGTACCAGGTAGGTCAATGGACCTTATTGGAATGCGGTCGGTATTTTTAAGGAGGTTCTCTTAATGCCACATGGGAAAGTGACATTACTGATTCAACAGTGGTAACCGTTGTAATGTATAACATTTCTTAGAAATAACTTATGCATAAAAAAGTAGATGTATTTTTCAACTTAATTTTTCAGCATTACGCTACTTATGCTTGTACTGCTCTGAGTCACTTCTCTTTCCTACGCCCGCAGATATAACCTCATTCACCTTCGCGCCCCCGGGTATGTAACTATTTGATCAATAGTTCCCAAGGAAGTTGTAGAAGTATAAATTGTAAGACTATGATGAAAATAAGGCCAATGAAGACTCGAATGTGTTTTTCAAATAAACTATTTCATGGTAACCCTGCGTCGTCACTGCCAATGTGTTGACTCTAAATGCTAAGAGCACTGTGATGGTTAGTGAAAAATTATACTTATGGAACGATAAACAGTGAAATAGTATCTTTCCAATTTTACTATATTTTTAAGAGATAAACATTAGAGTATGTAAGAATAAATGCTTCCATATTTCGGTAGCTGAGAGCACAAAATTATAAATAGCTACTTACTTGTAGTTAATATGATCAAATAAATCTAAGTAGTAATTGTTACCTAAAACTCATGTGTGAGAGGCATATACTCAATGTGTGTCCATATTAACGTAACGAATATGGTCTATGTCTCAGAGAATAACACAACAACCTGAATAAGAAATTCTCTTTCCATCCATTATCCTTATTAGTTTTACGTAACTGAATTAACCTTTCCTAAAATCAAAATCAGTACAATTCCTATAATTCGGAGTATTTCCGTTTCAGAAGTATTTACTATATATACAAGTGGATCTGACTCCCACGCAGGATACTTATAGAGTTTGAAGCTGTAATTTCCTATTTTGTTTATAGATCAAAAAACATCGCTTTTATGTATGCTTGGGTCTGGGAAATCTTTTTCCATATTACTAGCATTAGTTTCCTCTGTAATAAATATAACAATGCCTTTTTTTCATAAGGGAAGGACAGTCGTTGATGTTTTCATATAGAACGGACATAAGTTTTATAACCATTTAGCAACAGGTTGGGGTTTGTTGAAGGGAGCGCTTTGAAGAGATTATAAGTTTCATTCGTATAGTAACGATGGTCCTACAAAGCACTAAAATCTAGGTTTGAATCAAATTAAATCCGAAATCGCTAACCTTTTAAATGCAACCTTAAACCAA